CATAGTGGCTAAGGCACTTGACTGCTAACCAGAAGGTTGGCAGTTCAAACCCACCAGCCACTCCTCGGAAGGAAGGTTGGGCAATCCTACTGCCGTAGTGATACTGCCTCGGAAACACAAGGAGGGGTTGCTATGAGTCAGGGCTGACTCGATGGCACATAACAACAACAACAACAAAATATCAGATCATTTCCTAAAAGCAGGAGAAGGGAGATATAAGGTATAAAAAATACAATGGCAGTAACACAATGAGAGAGAGAGTTATGAATTATGTTATTCAACTTGTGACACAGAGGCACTTATGGAAAAGAAAGAGAATTATATTGTAATGTAACTTCTGTGGAAGAGATCAAGAAATGGAAGCAGTCAAATTCAACCAAGCAGTTAGAACAGACTTAGGATCAAATAATGGATGAATCAAGACTCAGGCTTTGGATTAACTGATAGCAAATACATGATCTCGTAGATAAAGGAAATGTAGGCCATGTCATTAGATACTTTTCCAGGAGGTAAACGAGGAAGGGACTTTAAATTCACGGACATAAATTGCCGGGGCTGCCAGGCCCCTCTGGGGTGATCTTGTATACTTCTCTTACCATTGATGTCCAAAGAGGTGAGGCTGCAACAGAGGGATGTAAACTAAACTCAAGGAAGAACTGCCCAGCCCCAGGGAATTGAATGTGGGAGTGAGATCAGTCTCCCGGAAAAGGTGAGGACAGTTCTGAGGACTCACTATCTGGTGGGACTCAGTGGGTCACCGCTCTGACATGTGTCCCCCTCCCTGAGAATTCATCTGGGTGGAATTTTATAAATACATGTATATGTTGTTGTTTGGTGCCATTTCTGACTCATGGCACCCAATGTGTGCAGACTAGAACTACGCTCCATAGGATTTTCAAGGCTGTGACATTTATCTATGTAATTTCATTCATATAGTTTGAAAGTTTTTGCATGTAAAATATCAGATATTGCAAACATCTGGAACCCTCTTCATTCAGTTTCTGCACAGATTTTTTTTTTTTTTTAGTTACATGACTTTTTCAAACCCCATGGTCCCCAGGTCAAGGGGCCGCAGGGTCACCCAGGTTGTCCGGGACTTCCTCCACGCCCAGAAGGTGCAGCCACCCGTGGAGCTCTTTGTGGACTGGTTGGCAGTGGGCCATGTAGATGAGTTTCTGAGCTTCGTCCCTGCCCCCGATGGGAAGGTAAGGATGTGGGTGACCTGCCCAGCTCAGCCCAGCCTGGCATTGGGTTTGACAGGGCTGGGCTGAGCCCCAGAGGACTGAGCCAGGGGACTGAGCTGGGTCTGTTCTCTTCACACAGGGCTTCCGGATGCTTCTGGCCAGCCCTGCGGCCTGTTTCAGACTCTTGCAGGAAAAGCAGAAGTTGGGGCACGGCCGGGCACTCCTGTTCCAAGGAGTTGTCGGTGGGTAACAGAGCCCACCCCTCGTCAGAGCTTTCCAGCCCCTCACCTAACTCAAGACAAGTTGTGAACTGAAAAGGAGATGGCAAATGTTAAAGCCAGGCTGATCCCAAATGTGGGCTCTTCCACTCTGCTACTGCATACCCTGCTCCAGCCAGGCCCCCTTTCTCAACCACCATGTCCCCTGCATAGCCTGCAGATCTGAGGCAGGCAGCATGGGGGTGGGGGTAGGTGGTGGGCATCATGGGGGCATGGCCAGCTCCATGGGCCCCTTGGAACAGGACCTATGCAGCTCACCGGGAGATGCTCTGAAGTGCCCAGTGCTGGGAGTTTAATGCTCTGTGAAATTAAGAATCTGGATTTTGAGATTTGGAAGTGAAGTCTAATAGAGAAGTAGAGTGTCTACTGGGGGCTTGAAGTAGGCTCATGAACTATCCCACTTTCTGTCGTCTCCCCGCCTCCCTTGGATGTTCTCTCTCAGCCTGTGTAGCCAGAGGCCCCACCAGGCCTCTCTCTCTTTGACCCCACCCAGCAACCACTGCCTCTGGCCACCCCTAGAAGGAGCCTCGGCATGGGGAGCATCACATGGTGGGGTGTGGCAGCAATCGTCCCTGCCCTGGGCTGGCAGAGTCCTGGTTCCTTCCGTGGACAATATGGTAGGATAAAGCCTCTTGCCAACCCCTGATCCAGGAACCTAGCACACCTCGGCATGGAGGTAACAATACCCTGACACACCATCAGGGCAGTGACTATGGCCTCATGCAGCCATGGGGCCAACACATCTCATTAGGCACCTACTATGTGCCAGATCTCATGCTCTGTGCCTCTTGCACATTATCCCATGTGATCTTCATGACAGCCTGTGGGGGAGCCGTTGCAGTCACACCCCTTCATTCACCCCAAGAATGTGAGGCTCAGAGAGGGAAGTTGCTGACCCAGAGGCCTCAGCAAGAATGCAATGGAGCTGGGACTCACTCCCATCTGCAACTCTAAGTAGAGTGGAGGGGGTGTGGAGCTTCTGCTGCTGGGTGGATTGGAGGAGTTCTCCCCTTTCTCTTGGTGTTGACTTGGGGCACTTTGATGGGCCCAAGACTTCAGTTTGAATCACAAGCCCCTCACTTCTTAGCTGTGTGACCTTGGGCAAGTAATGTTATCTCACTGAGCCTCAATTTCCTCATCTGTTGTTATTGCTAGTTGCTGTTGAGTCAGCTCCTAGTTCATGGCGACCTTATGCACAACAAACGGAACACATCACTGCCAGGTCCTGCGCCATCCCCATGAGACCATTGTGATCTACAGGGGTTTTTTTTTGGGGGGGGGGTGATTTTCAAAAGTAGATTGCCAGGCCTTTCTTCCTGGTCCATCTTAGTCTGGAAGCTCCACTAAAACCTGTTCAGCATCCTAACAATATGCAAACCTCCACTGACAGGTGGTGGCTGTGCATAAGGTACATTGGCTAGGAATTGAACCCAGATCTCCTGAATGGAAGCTGAGAGTTCTACCACTGAACCAACACCGCCTCCTCCCTCAGCTGTAGAGCAGGGATAATACTGTGTACCTTGTGAGGCTGCAGTGAGAGTTAAAGGAGATGCTGACTGTGGGGTTCTTAGCTCAGGGCCTGCACACAGTGAGTGTTTAATAAATGGCAGCCATGAGGATCATGAGCTGTTGGTTCCAACCTCCCCATCCTTGTCCAGCCCTGTCTCCACCGGCACCTGTCAGGCGGGCAGGGAAAGTGGAGCCCCTCTGCCATGCATTCACCCCCTGGAGGGCAGGGGCAGGGCCCGACGGTGTCTGATTCCCAGACTGGGTAGCCAGGGCTGGACTGTGGGCAGGCAGCAACAGCCTTATAAAACAGCTCCCCCACTAGCCAGAGGACCAGGAATCATCACTCACTGCCCTGGGGTGCTTGTAAAATTCCAATGAAAGGCGGCACCGCCTCCAATGAACTCAAATAAAGGTCTACAGTTCATTGCACTGTGACAACCAGGCCATCCCACTCCTTACATACACAGACTTGCACAGTGGCCAAGCTAAGCCCACTGGGCAGTGCCCACCCAAAACCCAGAAAAGGCAGAGATCTGCTGATTCAGCCAGGCTATGGATTTGACCTTGGCCTGCCTGCTTCCCATAGCACGTGGCTCTCACTGTTGCCTTTGCTCCTGTCCCTCCTTTATGTCTCTCTCCCTTTCACAGGTGATAGGAGGGTCCAGCCCATCTCAATAAACCAGGTCCTCTCCAATGAACGCTTTATCAGCTACAACAAGTTTGTGCAGGTACAAACTCAGGGTGGGCATGGTTGGTGGCAGGGTGGGAGATAGAAGTCTGAAGCTCACACACTTATGGAAGCTCAGGCTGGTACAGGCCCAGACAGGGAGAGTCACGTGCATGTGAGGCGGACAAGCATTCCAGGCAGAGGGAGCAGCATAGGCGATGGCTCTGAGGCCTGGAGTGGAGCACACAGGCCTGGAGTGTTTGAGGACCAGCCAGGAGGCTGAAGCAGAGTGAGGGGAGGCCAGAACACGTAAAGACTTGAGGTCCATTGTCGAGACTTTGGCCATGACTCTGAGTGAGATGCCAGGCTATTGGAGGGTTTTAAGGAGGGATCTGCTCTACCAATAACTGAAAAATTCTTTCTGCTTGCTGTGTCAAGAATGCATCATTGGCTGGGGGAAGGGGACAGGGGAAGTAGGACCAGCAGGAAACAGATGACACCTCAAGCTGAATGACTGGAGAAGAGATTAATTAAGGGTTTGTCTTTGGACAATTACATTTGATGTGCCTATTAGACATCCCAGTGGAGATGCTAAGTCATCATCATACTTACCAGTGTGGAGCTCGGGAGAGAGGTTGGGTCAAAGATAGAAATTTGTGAGTGGTCAGTGCATAGAAGATATTTTAAGCCATCCAACTGAGTGAGACCCTAAGGAGTGAGGGATCTAGAGGAGGGTAGAGAGTCAAGGATGGAGCCAAATGGAGGGATAGGACTGATGGGATGGGAGGCAGGACAGATAGGTTTTAATGAAAGGCACAGATACAGTTTGCTTGGACAGTTGATCCATGGGCACTTGGACATTCCCCTCTCCTCTACCAGACTTGAGCCCTAATGTCCCCTCAACATACACTGGCAGGGTGTCCTCCAACCTTGCCTCCCCCCCACCTCCCCACCTAGAGCTGCATCGACTGGAACCGTGAGGTGCTGAAGCGGGAGCTGGGTCTGGCCGACTGCGACATCATCGACATCCCCCAGCTCTTCAAGACGGAGAGGAGAAAGGCAGTGGCCTTCTTCCCTGACTTGGTGAGGCAAGGGTGGGGGAGGAGCCCACTGGTACACCACCATCTGCGACTTAATGTCAGGCTTCAAACCTCCACCCCCAGAGGGGCAAGATGTTTGATCTCAGGCATGTCTGGGATTGTGGCAGCAGGTGGGGTGGCAGGGAGAATCCGAGAGTCCTGATATGGTCACTGCAGGATGCTCATTGGCCATGACCTTCATTAAGGGCCATCAGGCAAGGGCTCTTCTCTCCTCCCAGGGACCCACGTGGTATCTGTGAAGTGAAGGGAAGATTGCATGAGGTCATTGTGTAAAGCACATGCCCCGAGCTGGGTGCTCCAATGCCCATCCAGCTCCCCTCCTGCCGGATCATGGCTACTCATCTGTTCCACACTTACTGAGGTGCCCTGTGGAGGGGCAGAGATGATTAAGACTTGCCCCTGCTCTCAGAGGCTTCCAGTCTAATCTAGTAAGGGGGACTCTGCTCGCCTCCATGAGGGCCTGTCCCAATGATTTGTTTAGTATGATAAAGCAGGGGCGGATTGCCCAAGAAGCAAGGTAAACACGGGTTTTCTTGTACTTACAAAATTCACAAGGATTTCATCACATCTTTGGTGTGGTAAAAAACTTGTTAAACTGTTTACTACAGATTAGAAAGCACAAGTAAGCCTGTGCTTACTTTGCTTACTGGGTACTCCATCTCTCTCATGGACTGTAAATTTTCAAAGAGGCTTTGATTCTGTAGAAAGGTGCCATGGGATTGGGAGAGAAACAAATGCCAGATGTGCCTAGAAGCAGAATCTTTGATGTGGTGGAAAATGTGAAATTGTTCCCTACAAATTAGTAAGTAAGCACAAGTAAGCACATGCTTACCTTGTTTATTGGGTAATCTGGTAAAGTGATAGGAAACTTCAAAGCCAGGACAAAGCACTTCTAGCCTAAGAGGTGATGGTGATCTGAGAAGGCTTCATGGAAGAAGTGTCCTTTGATTAAATGAACCTTGCTTCTGGTGCTTCTAAAACTTGAGCAGACATCTGAAACACGTGTGCTGCTGAAGCCCCATCCCAGGTCTGGATTGCAGGTCTGGGCAAGGGCCTGAGAAGCTGCTGCCTTTCTAACAAGCACCCAAGTGACATTGATGCTCATCTGAAGACCATACTTGGAGTCAGACTACTCTAAATCACCAGGCTCCTCTCCCCACCCCCATCCTCCAAGGAGCACAACTTGCCTATCCTCAGAGCCTTGTGGGGAGCCTGTCCACACCCTCATTGCTTCATTCCCCCTTTTTTCTTCCCCTTTTTGGCTAACTTTTGGCTTCCCTTGATTTCATCAGTTGCGATAAAGCCTCTTGTCACTTCCTTGTTGTTGTTAGGTGCCATAGAGTCGTCTTCAACTCATAACAACCCTATGTACAGCAGAACGAAACACTGCCCGGTCCTGTCCCAGCCCCATGATCCTTGCTATACCTGAGTCCATCATTGTAGCCACTGTGTCAATCCATCTTGTTGAGGGCCTTCCCCTTTTTCATTGACTCCCCACTTTACCAAGCATGGTATCCTTCTCCAGGGAATGGTCTCTTCTTCCAACATGACCAGTGTAGCTGAGACAAAGTCTGGCCATTCTCACTTTCAAGGAACATTCCTGCTGTACTTCTTCCAGGACAGATTTATTAGTTCTTTTAGCAGTCCATGGTCTGTTCAGTATTCTTTGCCAACACCACAACTCAAAAGCATCAACTCTTCTTTGGTCTTCCTTATCCATTGTCCAGCTCTCACATGCATATGAGGGGACTGAAGATACCATGGCTTGTGTCAGGCACACCTTAGTCTTCAAGGAGACATCTTTGCTCTTCAGCACCTGAAAGAGGTCTTTTGCAGCAGATTTGCCCAATGCAATAAGTCATCTGATGTCCTGACTGCTGCTTCCATTGGTGCTGATTGTAGAGCCAAGTAATATGAAGTCTTTGACTTCTTCAATCTTTTCTCCATTTATCATGATGCTGCTTATTGCCTATCATGATATTGCTTATTGTCATTTCCTTATTTGCAATTATTTCTGTATTCCTAGAAGTTGTGCATTGGTCTAGGCTCTTGTGTTTTCAAGGAACATAGGGCTGGCTACTCAAGCTTGCTTAGTGAGAGAGGGAGACATAATATAAAGATGCTGTGAAACATGAGGGTAGGGATGCCTGTTTTTCTCTCTCCCTCTCCAGCTTGGATTCCTTTGCTTCTCTGTCCCTGGAGAAGAATATGAATATGATCACCCATTATATATAGAGACCCAAGCAGAGACTGACTAGATTCCATGACAGTGCCACCTCCAATTACCCGGGAGAGAGAATCTGAAAGGTCAAGTGTGGGTTAGTTGTATATCCTGGTCCAATCAGCTATAGCCTAGGCGTTGCCTTCTGTAGCACAAACATGAGAGCTGCCACAACCCACCAACAAGGACAGCAGTTATCAGAGAAACAAGTTGAGGTCAGTAGATGCTCCCAAAGGCATTCACAGTAGCATATGAGATTTTGCTGGACCAAATTCCTTTCCCATTCCACATGAAAGGGAGATGAGCTACTTGCAAGGCTGCCCAAAGGTAGGTCCAGAGCTTCAGGTCCTGCCATGTAGAATGGAGATGTTGGATGTGGGAGCTTGATGATAAAGCATTGCCTCCCCTTTGGACTGCAGGTGAACATGCTGGTGCTAGGGAAATACCTGGGCATACCCAAGCCCTTCGGACCCATCATCAATGGCTGCTGCTGCCTGGAGCAGAAGGTGAGGTCCCTGCTGGAGCCACTGGGCCTGCACTGCACCTTCATTGATGACTTCACTCCGTACCACATGCTGCATGGGGAGGTGCACTGTGGCACCAACGTGCGCCGGCAGCCCTTCCCTTTCAAGTGGTGGAACATGGTGCTCTGAGTCTAGCCCTTCCCAGCATCCTTTCCCCTTGGGATGGGGCATTGGTCCAGGAAATGGAGACTGAGACAGGCCTCTGAACAACAGTGTCAAGAGACCCCCAAGGTTCCAGATGGAATGCCAAGGGTGACCCATCCCCCTCAGCAGCCTTTTCCCTAGAACTTTCCACACCTTACCTACAGCTCATTTGGTTTTCAGACTTGCATTATCTTGGCCACCCAAGAAGGACCTCATTTCTTGTGGTTTCTCATGTGTATCAACTTGGCCCATGGGGATTCCCCCAAACATCCCTTTCTCCATCTCCAAATTCTTCATTTGGGGGCAAATTCACTTTGGTGTCCAGAAGCACTCATGTATCTCATCTGCCATCTTGGCCTGTGCATCCTAATGGAGGAAGAACCCAAAATTCTGCTTTGATCTGAATGCTTCCTGCTCTACTGGGGAAGAGCTCTAAAGCCATATCGTTCTACACAGGACAGGAGAGATTCTTTCCAAAGCCTCAACCCCAGGGAAGGAGCTGGGGGCCCATATTGATCAGGGTGGGACCATCCTTTCAACTCTCAAGCTCCTGGCCAGAAGTTGAAGTCCATACCCTGCCTAGCCCCCAGCTTCTACATAGTAGATGCTTCTCACATGTGAGTCGAAGGAATGATAGATGCCCCATCATCTGGCATTCAGAAATCTGGCTTTGTCCAGAAGCCACCTGGAATTTATTGAAGATGAAAATATACAGGGAATTCTTGGAGATTGGGAAGACTGTGGGTGCAAGGGTTGAAATGTCCTTCATGATGTATAGGGATGATCTTGGGGATCCCACCTTCTAGAGAAAGAAGTTTCACTGGCCCTGGGACCTCTCTCTCTGCAGGAGGGGGACCCCTGGCTGAGTTGGTCTAGACCTTCTGTTGACTTCTGGTCAACATTTCCTTACCCTGCAATGCCAAAGGAGAGGAAGCCACATCCATTGAGTTAGCTCATAGCTCTGGTAGTGTGAACCTCTCTGAGTGCAGCAAGGGTAGGAATGGGAAGTGGGTTGGTTTTCTCCAGATGTGTCAGTTGCATGTATATTCTGTATGGGTCCAGCTGTGTTTCCATCACTGGCTAATAAATCAGCAGAAACAAAATAGTTTGGGTCTAATTTTGGCCCTTATCGGGGTTCAAATAAAATAGCCAAAAGAGAGAAGCTTCCTGCAGCTGAAATATTGGCTGGCCTGCTCCCAGGGATTTGAGGCAGAAAGGTCAGCTGCACAAGCCCAAATTTGCATAAGGCTGTGGGCTTTGTGCTGTCTAGGCCACGGGAAGAGTGAGTTAGGGCTGCCATGGATAGTTGCACTGCTCAAAGCAAACCCAGGGTCAAAATGTCGTGCTGCCAGGAGCAAGTCAGTAGGGTGGGCCAGGTCAGGGCTGGGGGCAGGATGATGTACCGTGGGGTTAGGCAATGGGGGAAGCCAGAGTCTGTGGAACATGTAGAAACCTGCTGTAGGCCCTTAACCTCATCCTCCTTCCTGCCCACTGAGAGACCACAGGTGCCCCCTAAAAGCCTCACCACCCCACCCCCCACCCCACACACACACTGAGCACCAGAAAATCACTCCATGAGCCTGGTGTCCTCCCATCTGTTTATTCTATCCAGAGGTGCAAACACAGAAACACACTCAAGCCGATGCAGGGGATGGCTTTCCCCAACGCCCCTTCCTCACCAAGGCTTACTTGGATTCTCCAGAATTGACTAATGTTTCTAACATGTCCAGATTTTTCTTTCTTTCTTTTTTTTGTCAGCTGATTTTTTTTTTTAATTGTGACATATTAAATAAAAAAACAAACAAACTTATTGCCGCTAAGTCCATTCGGTCTCATAGAGACCCTGTAAGACAGAGTAGAACTGGAAGCAGATTGCCACATCTTTCTCCTGCAGAGCAGCTGGTGGGTTTGAACCACCAACCTTTCAGTTAGCAGCCAACCACTTTAACCACTGTGCCATCAGGGCTCCTATATTAAATATTAGTCCCTGGGTAGCACAGACGATTTCCATTTGGCGATTAACCTAAAAAATGGTGGTTTGAGGTGGAATGCCTGACACGATGCCCCCTAGCTGCCCTTCAGGTCTGGAATTGAACCCACACCTGTGGCTTCCAGCCAAACAAAAGACAGGCATATGAGTTGAACATTTACCTGAGGTAGATACACTCCTTGAGAGAACAATCATGGGAGAAAGAAGGGCTGTTTATTCACAGGGAGACAGCTCAGGGAGCAGGAGTACATGGAGGGAAGGACACAGGGAAGAGGTAACTATGGGGAGGAAGTGGGAAGGGAGCTGTTGCATTGTGGTAAATTGTAGTCAATGTCATGAGACAAAGTGCATGTGAACTGCTTGCTGTATGGAAAGTGAATTTTCTCTGTAAATTTTCACTCAAATCACAATTTAAAAAAAAATTTAAAAAAATGGTGGTTTGAATCTACCCAGTGGTTCCATGAAACAAAGACCTGTCAATCTTCTTCTGTAAAGATTACAGCCAAGAAAACAAAATACTATGGGGTCATTCCACTCTGACACACATGGGGTCTCCACGAGTCAGAATTAATTCAATGGCTACGAGTTTGGTATTTTGAAATATATACATTACTATCACTACAGTCATTTCCAAATTTCTCCATCACTCTTAACAGAAGCTCAGCAACCTCTAAGAAATGACTCCGTCTTTCCTTTTCCTTCCCTCATGCCTCTGGTTGTTGTATAGTGTGCCAATGAGTCCATTCCAACTCATAATGACCTTCTATGACAGAGTAGAACTGCCCCATAGGTTTTCCTAAGCTGTAATCTTTACAGAAGCAGATTGACAGGTCTTTTTTCCTACAGAGCCTCTGGTGGATTCGAACCACTGACCTTCTAGTTAGCAACTGAATGCTTTAACCACTGTTCTACCGGGGCTCCTTCTGCCTCTGTGTACTCACAAGGAGCTCTGGTAGCATAGTACCTAAGGCATTCGACTGCTAACCAGAAGGTTGGTGGTTCAAACCCATCAGCCACTCCATGGAAGCAAGACTGGGCAAACTACCTCCGTAAGGATTTACTGCCTCGTAAACCCAAAGGGGGTCACTATGCCCCTAGTAACTACTAATAAACTCTGCTCTCTATGTATTTGTCTATTCTAGATGTTTCATTTAAGTGTGATCATACAATATTTGTTCTCTTCTTATTTTCCTCAGTATGGTGTTTTCAAGGTTCATGCCTAGATTTTGACAAAATCAGCCCTCCCCCCAAGGGAAGTGAAGACAAATGAGGATCCTGAGAAAATACATGTCTTAGAGTTTGAGGTGGAAATGTGGCTCTCAAGAAGGCAAGTGTGCAAAACTGGGAAACTGAGATGAGTTTCCAACCTCCGTCGCCCTTAGATGCCTCAGACTGGCTACAGGCTCTGGGTGGAGTCAGCCTTCAGACAAGAAGGCTTGGGCACTTCTTGCCTTTCAGGTTTGCCTCCTGTGCTCCAAGTTGAGATGGGACACTAGACAGCCCAGCAACCTCTTCCCCTGGAGACAAAAATCAATTACCATCAAGTTGATTCTCACTCATGACAACCCCTAGAACTGTGCTCCATAAGGTTTTCAGTAGCTGATTTTCTGGAAGTAGATGGCCAGGCCTTTTTTCTGAGGCATTTCTGGGTGAACTTGAACCACTAACCTTTTGGTTAGCAGCCAAACATGTTGACCATTTGCACTATCCAGGGACTTCTCTCATACAGTTGTTGTTAGGTGTTATCAAGTTGACTCTGACTCATGGTGACTCTATGTGCAACACAATGAAACACTGCCTGGTCATGCACCAACCTCACAATCCTTGCTGTACTTGAGCCCATCATTGTAGCCATGGTGCCAATCCATTTCCTTGAGGATCTTCCCCTTTATCGCTGGCCCTCTACTTTACCAAGCATGATATAATTCTCCCAGGATTGGTCCTTCTGCAACATGACCCCAGTAGGTGAGAAATCTGGCCATTCCTGCTTCCAAGGAGCATTCTGGTTATACTTCTTCCAAGACAGATTTGTTCATTCTTCTGGTAGTCCATGGTATATTCAATATTCTTCACCAACACCATAATTCAAATGATCAACTCTTCTTTAGTCTTCCTTATTCATTGTCCAGCTTTCACATGCTTTTGAGTCAATTGAAAATACCATGGCTTGGGTTAGGCGTTCCTTAGTCTTCAAAGTGACTAAGTGGCTTAACACGTTACAGAGGTCTTTTGCAGCAGATTTGCTCAGTGCAACACTATGTCTGATTTCTTGATGGCTGCTTCCATGGGCGTTGATTGTGGATCCAAGTAAGGTGAAATCCTTGACAACGTCAATCTTTTCTCCATTTGTTGTGATGCTGCTTATTGGTCCATTTGTGAGGATTTTCATTTTCTTTATGTTGAGGTATAATCCATACTGCAGACTGTAGTCTTTAATCTTCATCAGTAAGTACTTAAAAGTTTTCTTCACTTTCAGCAAGGAAGCTTGTGTCATGTGCATATCTCAGGTTGTTAATGAGTCTTCTTCTAATCCTATGCTACATTCTTCTGCATGTAGTCCTTCTTCTCAGATTATTTGCTCAGCATACAGATTGAATAAGTATGGTGAAGGATACAATCCCGACACACACTTTTCCTGATTTAAACCATACAGTATCCCCTTGTTCTATTTGAATGACTGCTTCTTGGTCTATGTACAGGTTCTTTATGAGATTGCCCCATCTTCCTTCCGAGGAGTGGCTGGAGGGTTTGAACTGCCAGCCTTCTGGGTAGCAGTCAAGTGCCTTAGGCATTATGCTACCAGAGCTCCTCCATAATTTGTTATGATCCACAAAATCAAATACTTTTACATAGTCAATAAAACACAGGTAGACATCTTTCTGGTCTACTTTCAGTTCAGCATGGCAAAAACGCTCTTGTGCAGAGGGGAAACAAAATAAGTTCTCATCTTATGAAAATAACATTCACCTGTCCACATAGCAAAAGATAGAGGCAG